TTTATATATATATATATATATTGACTCGACGGCACTTCACAACAACAACATATATCATACAAGTTATAGAGACCCTGTCTAGAATTTCTGAGGAGCAGCTGATGAGTTTGAACTGCCAATCTTGCCACAACAGGTCTCCAAATTAGGTTAAGATGCATAATGAACTGAAAAACTACTTGAAAAATACACACTAAACGTTTTCCTTTAAAGAGCAACAGAATGAAGAACATTCATATTTTATATTATGTATATTTTTGTCTGTACTGTCTGATTCTTTTATGATTTATACTGCTGGCATAATTTTTTAGAGTAATAATTTTTCTTTTAATGTTTTACTTGGTTCTTAGAAAAAGATATGGTTCTTTCTGTTCTTGGAACTAATTTTATCAAAGCAATTTGAAAGTACAGGACTTGTACACACACTCAAAGTATTCAAATGAAGCATTTGCTATCCCCTCTGCCTGGAATGATCTTCCCTCCGATACTGTTCATTCATTCACTCTTTCAAATTTTCCACTTAAATATCAATTTATCTAAGCAACTTTTTCTGACATTTCAATATAAAATGGCAACCTTCCCTACCCATTCCAGCTTTCTCCAATTACCTAACCTTGCATTATTTTTCACTAGAAGCGTAACATCTGTGCTTACTTTCCTTATCTTTAAAATGGGGGTTGCAGTAGTACTTCTCTCATAGGGTTGTTGTTATGCTTAGATGAGCCAGAAGTCCTTAGATTAGTGTCTGACATATAGAAAGCACTATATACATTTGGTATGTCCGTGTGTTTGTTTTGTTTATAGTCTGCCATCCACCTGTTAAAATGGTAAATCAAGTAGACAGGCTTTTTGTTCTGTTCTCTATTTATCTCTAATGCCTGGATTGTCTTTATCAGGATACAGTCATAGTTGTTGAAGTCTGATTTTTTATTGTAGCCCACATGCGCAGGCAGCTGAGATTGCAAGAAAAAGTCCAATTATTTTCAATGAAAACAAACTTTCTATGTGTTGGCATGATGGAACTGTAATAACTCAATCTACTATGAAAGTATCATATTCAGCAGACTGACTCCTAGAAGCTTCAAGGAAGAAAGCGGAACAGTACCATTTGGCTCTTTAGTTTCTTAAACACCTAACACGGCAATAGAGCCATAGCATAATACAGAACTAGAAAACAAAAGCACAACTTACTTTTCATTCCTGTTTTGGATACATGGCTGGTATAAGACCTTGATGGCATTCCAGACAGAACTGGAATCGTCCTTCAAATCGTCTTCCAACAGGGGGAATTTTTTGATACTTTTGGAATTTCCCAAAGATTGAATCACCAAACTGTCTGAGTTTAGAAGCCATAACTAAAGACACAAAGAGAAAAATCCAAGTATGTAAAAGAATATCACTACTATATCTTTTAGTATGCCACCACTCAAAATGAGCCAAAAAAAAAATTAAAAGCCTAAAAAAAACCAGAGAAAAATATAGACAAACTAAGTAAATAATCTTTAAAGAAAGTCTTTCAAAGTGTAACATCTGATGGAAAACATTACGAAGTTAAAAATAAATATAGACCAGAAGAAATTAATTAATGCACATATAATAAAATTATTACCTATAACATATACCAAACCTACCACCAATGAGTCTAATCCAATGCACAATGACTCTATAGCACAGAGGAGAACTGCTCCCTAAGGTTTCCAAGACTGTAAATCTTTTCAGGACAAGGCAGTTTCATCCTTCTCCCATGAAGCTGCTGGTGGGTTTGAACTACCAACCTGCAGTTAGCAAGCAGCCAACACTGCACCGCTAAAGCTCCTTCAATAACATATACAAAAAAGGAACAACCTCAAATTCGCTGGCATTGAGTCGATTCCCTATATAAGGTTTCTAAGGCTATAAATCTTACTGGGAGCAGACAGGCTTATCCTTCTCCCATGGAGTAACTGGTAGGTTTGAATCACCAACCTATGGTTAGCAGCCCAATGCTTATCCCACTGTATTACCAGGGCTCTTTCTATAACATCCAGAGCTCCTAAAAATCAGTGAGGGGAGAGGGGAGCTAGCCCAATAAAATGTATGCAAAAATATAAGCAGACTAACAGAAGAAATAAGTGATTAATAAACATAAAAATATTAACATAACTAGTAATAAGAATTACAAATCTTTTACATTCCCATTTTTTTACTTACATAAGAAGATTAAGAAGACCAAGAAGGGTTTAGAAATGGGTATTCCCATACATTGCTGGTAGAAGTGCTTTAGGATTTGAGTGTACATAATTCACTGCGAGAATACTCTCAGGAGAAAGGAAGTGGGGAAATAGGATAATGCAGAGCAAAGAGGAAAGGATATGGCTTAAAATGAAGTTTAGCTTCATCCAAATCCCATAGGTAGCTCTGGAGCATAAAACTGCTGCACCTACAAAGTTGATCCCAACTTGAGACAGGAGGGCCTGGTTTTTTGTATACCTAGTGTCTTAGTTATATAGTACTGCCTTAACAGAAATATCACAAGTGGATGGCTTTAACAAATTTATTTTTCTCGTTTTATTGTTCAGTGCCATCAAGTCACCTCCAACTTATATCTAACTTGTATAGGGTTTTCAAGGAGCAGCTGGCAGATCTGAACTGCCAACCTTGTGGTTAGCAGTCCAATGTTTATCTTACAGTGCCATACCAGGACTACTTTTCTCATTTTTGGAGGTTAGAAGTCTAAATTCAGAGTGCCAGCTTTAGGAGAACACTTTATTAGTTGACTCTGGAAGAAGAGTCTTGGTTCTTTAGCTTATATTTCCTGGTTCCTTAGAGATCTCTACGTGGATTGGCATCTGTCTTACCCCATCTGTGCTTCTCTGCTTGATGGTGTAATTGCTTTTATATCTCAAAAGAGATTGAAGACACACCCTACACTAATTCTAATATAACAAACACAGCTCATTCCCAAATATGATTATAACCACAGGTACAGAGGTTAGGATTTACAACATATATTATGGGGGGACATAATTCAATCCGATTGTTTGTCAGTGTGTTATACTGTGGTGGCTTATGTGTTGCTGTGATGCTGGAAGCTATGTCACAAGTACTTTAAATACCAGGAAGGGCATCCATGATGGAAAGGTTTCAGCAGAGATTCCAGACTACGAAGAAGGAGAGGAGGTTACTTCTGAAAAATTAGCCACAGGAAATCTTATGAATAGAAGCAAAATATTGTCTGACATAGTGTCAGAAGATGAGTCCCTCAGGCTAGAAGGTATTCAAAATACAACTCAAAGCCTCCTCAAAGTAGAGTTGATATTAACAACAATGAATGAACAAAACTTTTGGGACCTTCATTTGCTGATAAGACACAACTCAAAATGAGAAGAAACAGTTGCACATATCTATTAATAATCAGAACATGGAATGCATGAAGTATCAATCTAGGAAAATTGGAAGTCATCAAAAATTAAATGGGAATCAATATAATTAGGTGTTAGTGAGCTGAAATGGACTGCTACCGGCCATTTTGATTCTGACAATCACATGGTTTACTATGCTGGGAATGACAAACTAAAGAGGAATTGTGTTGCATTCATTATCAAAAAGAACATTCCAATATCTATCTTGAAGTATTTGTCATCTGGGAGAGTAAAATATACATATGCCTACAAGGAAGACCAGTTAATATTAGTATTATCCAAATGTATGCACCAACCACTAAAGCCAATGGTGATGAAATTGAAGAATTCCACCTTCATTCTGAAATTGATCCAACATGCAATCAAGATGCACTGATAATTATTGGCGATAGGAATGTTAAAGGTGGAAGGGTAAAAAAAAAAAAAAGAGGAAAGATCAGTAATTGGAAACTATGACCTTGGTGACAGATATGACGTGCAAGATTGGGCAGCATTTTGTTCCACTGTGCATGGGATCTCCATGAGTCAGAGGCCAATTCAATAGCAGTTAAAACAAAAAGCATACACACTTATCACCCAGCATTGTCACTGCTTAGGAGAAAGTGAGAACCTTTTATCCACTGAGTCATTCTGACAATGGAGTACATCCTCAGACACTGCCAAGGATGTACCTAGATTCCTTTATTTTCAATTCTATAATACAAATGAAAATTACAGTGGATTATGTCCAATTTTCAGACAGCAACCTGTAATTCTATTCCCTTCTTGCCTACTAATTTCACCCTTCCACAGTGTTAAGATATCATAATTGAAAGCTACAGTTTATAACTTCTAAATATATATTCTAAATACATATTGTGGAGTCCCAGCACACCAGGACTGTACGATAAGCACTAGACTGTAGTTCAAACCCACAAGCTGCTCCTTGAAAACCCTATATAGGGTACTATGAATTAGAACCAACTCAACAACACTTAACAACAACAACAACAAACATATTCTAAAATCTTTTGAAAAATTTTATACATATAAGCTTGATTTTGAAAGATTTTCAAAGCAGCATTATTTATTACAGTGAAAAAATCACTACAGTCAAAGTATTAAATATGAAAACAGTTAAATTATATTCCATGGAGCTTTCCGGAGGTTAAAAAATTTATTAAAAATTACTAGTAACATAGAAAATGGCCAAGAAAAAATGCTTAGGATATAATCCCCCCACTTACATAAAATATCTAGAATACAAAAATGCATGAAAGGACAGATAAATACATTCATGAAAACTAAATACCCTACCAGTGGGTCATAGAAGAAATAAAAAGTTAAAAACTAGCTAGATCATGAAATTGATACCACAACTACCAAAACCTTAGTAGTGAAACATTAGCTCAGTAAAATTCAAAGATATAATAATACTAAAAGATTCATTTTCATATTTACTGTGCTGACATTTGCACTCATAGTACAAAAACATCAAGTAAAATTGGATCTTAGAAGTTAAGATTAATCAAATATATGTTAAATCAAAATTTCAAATAAATATCTGTATTTTTTTCTTTAAATGCCAGGTTTACTTAATACTGTAGTTGATAAAGAGATCATTGCTTTTATTAAGTTTTGACCCTAAAGTATACATCTCTTTAGAATCCATATGACAAAATGAGATGGACAGTTACTCTGCTTTGCTGCACATCTAAGTATAGTTTAATTGCAAGTGTGTGACAGAGTTATGAATAGACCTAGTCACTTTTTTCAGACCATTTCTGTTTGAAAGAATGGCTAATAAGTAATGGCTGTTTAAACGTAAGCATTTTGAAGACATTTTCTCAAAGGAATATTGTCACTTCAAAAAAACAACTGACAGTATTTACGGCCATGATAAAATGCAAGCTTTTATGCAGAAATCAGAATTATGGATAATCATGAACTTGGCAGCTTTTCATTAGATGAGAGGCGGTAACATTGGCCAATGTAAACCTTTTGACATTGTTTATTGTCATATGTCAACTTTAGAAGTTCTGAATTACTTGGCAAAGCAGTATTTCCTAAATGATATTGCAAGGTTATACATAGCTAAAAATCTACTCCTGTAAGAGACAACAGTTTATTTTGATGGAATAATACAAAAAGTTTATTAATGTAGTTTGAGCCTTCATTTCAGGTAATCTTTAAGAAACTACTATATGCCAGGTTTTGTTGTAGTATCAAAGAAAGGTATTTACAGTTACCTGAAATGGTGTTAAATGTTTCCTTTTCTCTTTAACTCAAAAACATCCCCCTGAAGTCTTAACACCAAACCATTTAGCATAACTAGAATATCTGCCTGAGCATTTTGCAATTTTATGAACTGGATGGGGTGCTCACTTCAGCAGCACATATCCTATAATTGGAACAATATAGAGAAGATTAGCACGCCCCTGCGAAAGGATGACACGCAAATTAATGGCAATTTTAGACAATACACTGAAAAGGGAAAGGAGCAGAATTGAAGAAATGGAAGCCAGAACCAGCAAACTGGAAGACAAATCTCTCAATGCTGTAGAAAAAAGGATTAAAAAATCTGAAGA